AGCTTTTAAACAAATATATTGTTGCATTTTTCTCTTCCTGACACCAGTTGTTACGTTATTTTCTTCCTTCACGTTTGTACGAGGTTTGTAGATTTGGAGTGAATAACGACGACACTTGATGAAGTATCGAAAGACACTTTATTTACCAGTATTGTCAGGACAGCTCCAAAACATGTTTTACAGTCTTAGATGAACTACTATAAACACGCTGACACAATTAGCAACACAGCCTTCAGGTTATCAGTCTGTCACGGTGGAGACATTTTCACGGCAAAACACTAGAGTACAGCTCTCAACTCTGCTTGGTCGTTCTCAGAACTCCTACTCTCGAGACTCTCCACGCTACAACTCGCGATGCACTCAACGATACACAAGAGTATAGCTCTCGACTCAGCACAGTCTAAGACAAAACTCGGCGATGCAGTAAAAGACTCTCTCGATGCACTCGGGGCTAGACTTCGAGACACTCGCTCAGTGACTATCAGCTCACTAGACGAGGCGCACACACACACAGCGACTGACTGCGGACCAGCAGGGTTTATATAGTTTTCGGCTTGTGTTTGAGAACATTCTGGGCAAGAATTTGTTCCAGAAGGTTCTCCAACCGTCCATGGTATATCGTCAATTTTGTCGCCAGATGGGCGATTTCTCACCAAATGTGGCAACACTGCCTTCCCTTGCCATTTTATGGCAAACCTAAAACTGCTTCGTGGGGAAGCCATCTCACCACGCCTGTACATTTCGTAGCACTATCATTCAGAGATTATAAAAAAACTCAGAACTTTTAGACTGTGTAAATTTCAGTGAGAGATCGAACTTCTTGCATGAGCAAACTAACTTTGCTTAGGTAAGAAATATATCTTACAGTTAATTTGTTTATGTTGAAACTGAAACTCATATTGTGAAATTTTGGCTTGAAGTATTTAGTCTAAAGGTAGATGGAAAATTAGTATTAACCCTTTCCGCCACGCTACCTTTCAAATTTAGAATTTCAACAAAAATGAGGTAGGCAGTCTAATCAGTTCTAGAGGAGTATACAGGTAAAATTTTGTGAAGATAGCACTTATCATTTTAATTCTGTGGGTGTGCCGAATGAATAGAGCTTCGAAAAGAGTGCTGAAATGAGCATTGCTGGGAAGTGCGTAAAAGAGTAAAAGATTTTGCTTACGATTAAAAAACATTAGATTCTGAATACCGTAGCAGATTTAGCATTACCCAGGGTGTGCCATGGGGAGGCCTGATACTCTACACCCCCCTAAAAAAGCTTTTCGTTATATAATGATTACATGCATATGAATAGAAAAAGTAACTTGGGTATATGATATTTACATTTCATATTTACACTTTTGTCTATTTTTCCGTGGTGGTACTTTTAAGAAAGTGACACCACCTTTAAAAAAGCACAACCCAATAATTGCATGTTTTGCACATGTACTGGGATCCATATCAGATTCACTATCTGAAAGCATTTCGTGTAGCACTTTCAGTGATTTAGAAATGGTCAGCCCTCTAAAAATAAACTAATATTATATCTACAATTAGAAATTATGAACTATAAAATAAAATTAAATAAATGTCTACAGCTCAAAATTATCAAACGTAGACTAACAAAACGTCTTTAAACGAAAGCAAAAGAGAAAAAAAGCCTAACAGCTAACTGATAAAATTAGAAAATCACCCCCAACAATTTCTTAGTTAATGACCAAACCTCCCCTCTGGGGAAAAAAACAACAACCAGGAAATGAAACACAGATGGGGACCCACCTTTCTATTGTCAATGAACTGACCAGAGAGCTGTAGAAAAACAAGGACACTGTCTGGTCCTAGTCGCTCAGTGAGCCGACTCTGGGCACACCTAATGTTCGCCGTTTGATTTTTAGGCAATATTTCAAGCTAAAAATTTAAAACTAATATAGAATAAGGAGATTAGCATACAGCCAAAAAAATAACATAGAAATTTCTTTTCAAGCAATTCTTTTTATATCCTAAAAAAATCTGGAAGATTTCTTTGGAAAATGAGGGTCTTTAAAAACTAAGCATGGCTAAAATATATGGACTGGTTTGAGTTACGCTGCCATCTAGTATAAATAAAGATGGTTCAGAGTAACCTGTAAATCCTTTTTCATTTAATTTTTTCTGTGCATAAAGAAGGAAATTTTTAAGTGTGCGCAGACCGGATACACCGTGCCGCAAAGGGTTAAACAAAACTGATTAAATCTTTTTTATCTTGCTTTCATGGACCCATTGTTGAAAGTTCATTTACTTACATGAATGGTATAATTATGGAACATAGAGCACCCTTGAATTTTGATAGCCCAGCTGCTGCTTAGGCTTTGAAATATTTATTCTCATTGTTCAAAAATACCTGTGTAGCCTTTGGGTAAGAAATTCCTCTGGGTTTGTTAAGATATTAGGAATGATTAGTTGAATAACTGGACAGCTTGTCAACATTCTTTAAAATTCATGAACCATTCATTCTCTTGCGTCCAGCAGTTTCTCATTGCAGCACCTGTTAATATGCATACTTCAGGTTCTAATCTAAATGCATAAAACGTTAAGTGAAAAGCCACTATATACTTCAAAATTTGTTGCTGATTGAATAAATTTTCAGTTGTTACAATATATATACACATTGAAGTGTAGTGTGTATATATATACATATGCTGAAGAACATACATAAGTGTAGTGTATACATATATACACACTGAAGAGCCAAAGCATTATGACCATTTACATATTACCCAACCTTTGGCCTGCAATAAACAGCTATAATGTGCCTTGGCATGGATGCCAAAAGTTCTTGGAAAGATGACTGGATACAGGTTGGACCAAATGTCTAAGCAGCGATCATACAAAGTCGAGATATTCTGACATGGTGGTGTTTGAGCTCTGAGCTGCCGCTATTGGCTTAAGATCTGGTGAGTTAGGTGGCCAGGATATTAATCGGAATTCAACCTTATGTTCATCGAACACCTCTAACACAATTCGAGCCTTGTGACATGGGTTGTTGTCTTCTTGGAAAATTCCATCCGGTTGGGAAGACAGATGCCATGTAAGGCTGCAACTGATTGGCAGTTATGTTCAGATGGTCTGTGGCTTTCATTGTCTGTTCTACCACAACTAAGCGTCCCAGAGCCATATGTGAGAATATTCACCAAAGCTTAATACCACGACCACCAGCCTGTGTATGACCTGCTGTACAAGGTGCGAGCAACTGCTCACCTGGAAGACCGCGAACCCTGATACAACCATTGACATGATAAATGAGAAATCATGATTAATCCAACCAGAATCAGCAGAATCAAGTCGCTGAATTTGCCAGGCCTTTGAGGATGATGCCGTTAATGAACGAACCGCTAGGCAATGGTTCCAGAACTTCTGGTCAGGGAATATGTCTCTTAGTGATGCACCACGCAGCGGTCGGCCACAAGCACAGCACAATAAAGCCCTGAGAGCAGCCATAGAGAGTGACAGTAGTGAAACATGTGGTGAGCTTGCTGCACACTTCCAGATATCTGATGAAATGATCAGACTATATTTGCACCGCATAGGAAAGGCATACAAGCTGAGCAAGTAGGCACCCCTTTCACTGTCTGATGCAAACAAGCAACAGCGTGTCGCTGCCTGTTTATCATTGCTTACTCAGCACCGCAGTGCATTTGTATTTAATTGAGTACTCGCCACCAATGAAAAGTGGGTCCAGTATGACACACCCAGGCATTCCAGACATTGGTTGCCACCACGACTGGGCTGGGATATACTACCCCATCCATCATACTTCCCAGACTTCACACCAACAGACTACCACCTTTTCCATTCCCTGGGCAACAGTCTTCATGGGAAATCCTTCAAAACCGGCCAGACCTCGAAAAGGCCTTTACGAACTTCTTGTGTCCACAACGTCTGCAGACATTAATGCATTGGCATCGCACATCTAGCCACTCGTTGGCAAAAAGCACTGGATGCGAATGGTGATTACTTTGAGGATTAGTGGTGATTATTTGTTTTATGACCTTTTTCTTTCTGACTATCCAAAACAGCAAAAACTCTTTTGGTTACCTTGTATATGTGGGAATTTCTTTACTCGAGACTCAGATATGCCATGTGGGAAGTAGGTGTAAGTATAATTAATAACTAATTTATGCTTAACTTCATTGCTGTGCAATAGAAGCAAGTCAAAATTTAGTGGAACAACATTACATTAACCAATCTCATGATACATTGCCAGTAATGTATAGTGGATGCTAGATAAGCATTATGATGATAGCTGTGATTTGAAGGTTTTCAAAGATCGCAAACAAAAAGCAAAAGTTTTCAACTAATGGAATATAGGGAGAAGTGGTAATAAATGAATATGATATAGCAGACAACTTTAATTTCAGTGACAGTGCTCCAATCATCAGCCACAGACAGCAAAATCTGTGGTATAGTTTAAATCTAGAAAATAGAGGTTGTTGAGACCAATTTCTATTTTCTAAAAAAATTTGATAGATAATTTATTTGGGAATTTTTGACATGGCAATTAATTACAGGACATGAACAGTGGAAGCTTGTAATTGAACAAGAAATTTTATCTTGTTTATAGAATTAAAGAGAAAGTACAAAAAAACAAACAAGTTACATTGAAAGAATCATTTACTAAAGCAAACAAATAAATATTGAGCTTTTTTTAGTAAATTTTGACTGTAAATTTCTGTAAATGCTTCATTGTTTCATAAATCACTATTTCGTGTTTTTAATTTTATAGCTTTTATGTGTCTTCTTATTAAATTTAAACTGATGATTTGATATCTAGAAAAATCTCAAATCCGGAATTACTGAAGTCCTAAAGAGTCCAAATATTGGACTTTCTATTGTATTGTGTTAATTTCTTTTTTAAAAAATTGCATTAAAAATATCTATTGATATTCAGCAGTTTTTTTTGGGGGGGGTTATTGAAAAGTTTCAAAATTCATAAAATACTGTTATTATAATTTAAATATTTTATTTAATATTTTCAGGCTGCACATGCTGTTCTGCAGCAACAGGATGCTGGTAAGCCTGTGTATAAAGTTAAAAATGTTTCCCTCAATACTTTGTGTAGTACATATGGAGGACCTGTAAATCCTCGCAAAGACCAGATGAAAAGCTTATATCGTAGGGATCAGAAATTTTGGAGCCGACGCCCATTAACTGACGATATGATATTTCATGCAGCTTTTGATGTGTTCTGTCTCCTGCCTTCAGTGTATTACAATATCAAAAGGTATTTACTTTTTTATCACTTTTGATTAAATTTGAAATTGACTGTATATGCTCCTGTAATGTACAGGATGGTCTTAAAAAAAACTTACCTGATATATGAATCCCTAGTGGCGTATCCATTCAACTAATCAAAATGAAATTTCAGATATTAATATTTGAAGGTACGCACTCGAGATTGTGGTAATTTAACACTTGAATTACAGCAGCAGTCATTATGACCGTATCTCCATTTTAATTCGACATAAGGTTTTTAATTCTTTATTTATAAATTTGATATTTTTTTACTTTTCTAAAAACTTATTTTTGTCCATTTTAAATAATTATTTTTGCCAATATTATTATCTATACCTAGAATTACGGCTATCGGTAATTGTGACTGTATCCAGCAAACTATATATTCCTTGTTATTTTTATGACTTTTTTAACTATTTCCAGTATGCTGATAGGTAACCAAGTGTATTTTTGGTAAGGAAGATTGCATATTTCATAGAAGTGCGTGGGGAGGGGAGGAGGGGGAATAAAAAACAGCTGCTTGGAATTTTTGCGTGCCACATGTCTGCACATTTCCCTTGTGTTAGAAAGGTTATGTTTCAGTAGACACAAATGTACTTTACTTCATTTGGATGGTTTTATTGCTCTGGTCTGCTTATCATGTTTGCATAGAAGCATTGATAGAAAATATCTAACGAAGGAGGAGATGCTGAAAGTTTTTGAAAATAAGCTGAGAGTTTGGATGATAATTCTGCTTCAGAAACTGAACCTGATGAAGAATGTCATATCGAAACTACATCCAGTTTATCCAATGAGGACTGGATTGTTCCTACTGAAACAAGTGAATCTGATTATTCTGATGCAGCATCTGCTCTTTAAACAGAAAAGGAAAGTAAAAATTTGGATCAAGAAAATATTCCATTGCCTTCTACTAGTATAGTTTCCAGAAGTGAAATTAGTGGCAGTAATCGAGCTCAAGAAAGTAGTCAAAGGCAATGAAACAGAACTCTATAACGAGGCAGATGTATCCAAAGTAAGGAAATTCAAAATGATGAAGAAAGAGCGAATGATGGTTCAGTTTGGAACATAGGAAATTTTTCAACAAGTGTTACAGGGAGACATCCCCAACAAAATGTCTTTTGAAAAGTAGCTGGGCCAACTTTGTATGCAAAGAGAAAAATAATTGATAGTAACTCAAGTAGTGCATGGAGATTCTTTATCAACGAAAAAATATTGCATCCCAAAATCCAAACTAAAGTTTGCCATTCAAAGAATTAGATGCTTTCATTTCACTGTAGTGTATTCATGGAGCTTTGGCTGCAAAAGGTCTTTCTATTTTGAGTTTTTGTTCAAAATCTTGGGGCCTGACATTTTTTACTGAGACAATGGCTAGGGACAGATTTCTAGAAATTCTGACATATTTGCACTTCGCCAAGAAATCAGCTAGACCTGAAAGACTGCAAACTGATCCATTTGCCCTTGTTTTGGATATTTGGAATGCTTTCATAGAAAACTGTTTGAAATGTAAATCGGGTGAAAATATAACAGTGAGTAAACAATTATTTCCCATGAAGACCCAATGTTGATTTATACAGTATAAGTTTAAAAGCTGGACAAATTTGACATTAAATTTTGGCTTGCTATTGATGTGCAGTCAAGATATTTACTGAACGGATTTCACTATTTGGGAAAAGACAAAACAAGACCAGCTGGAGAAGCGGTAGGTGAATATGCAGCTTTTCGGTTGATGGAACCCTACTACAGTACTGGAAGAAACCTGACAATGGACGATTTCTTTACTTCATTTAAATTAGTAAAAGAAATTAGGAGTTCAAGGATAAGCTGCGTTGTCACAATAAATTGTTCAAAAAGAGAAGTACCTTATTCTTTCAAAAATACAAGGGATGAGCTCTGTTTTAGTAAGATTGCTAAGCATGAAAATATAACTGTTACATCTTATCATGGGAAAAACAAGAATGTCCTGCTCCTGAGTAACATGCCCCCAATATTGGAAATCGCATCTGAGGAAAAAAAGACACTGGAATTTGTGAATTTAAATTTTGAAAATTGGGGAAATAATTTGGGAAATAAATGTTTTTTACCCTTTCCTCTCTTGTGTTTTCATTGGTTCTTTACAGTGCTTTTCTGTGCAAATGACTTGTGCTGGCAGTTTCTTTCCTACGTGTATCATTCTTATGCCAATTGTAGTTTATTAATGCTGTGATCAGTTTGTGCAGGAAAAAAGTAGGTGTTACCATTCCAAATTTTTTTTTCTGCAACTGTAACCGTAAGAGCTCTATTTTTTTAAATGATCTCAACTGTGAGCGCATGCCTTCAAATAGCAATATCTGAAATTTCATTTCCTTTGGTTGAGCAGGTAGGCTAGTAGGGCTTCATTTATCAGGGAAGTTTTTTATGATCACCCTTACCACCTTTGCAAATTGATTTTTCGCCTTATTTTTGCTTTCCAACAAAGTTCTTTCACTGAAGACAGTTTTTTAATCATTAGTAGTTTTGTTCTTATTTGCATTTTGGTGAGACATATTGCAATGACATTATAAATCTTATAAATTACGTGCATATTATTTACTAATGTTTCCAGCTAACAGGTATGTGACCAAATGAAATCATGTGTTTATATTAGCAATGTGAATAATTTATATTTAATAGTGTAGACATAGTGTCAATGTAATATGAATCAAAATTTATCTTGCAATTTACTGTTTCTGGTAACAATTAAAATGTATTCTGTGGTTGTAGAAATGAAAACCAGCTCTGTGCATTGTGAGCAGAAATATACTATGTATAGATTTAATTGATATCTAAATAAAATGCAGATTTATTTGGCTTTAGTCTAGTGGACACCAGTGGTGCTGTGTTAAAATGATGTTGCAAGATATTTCTTTCTAAAAAAGTGTGTTTGAAGGAGTGACATTATATGAAAAATATAATTAGGATTTTAAGTGGTTTATGAAGAAATAAATAATATGCTTTATGAAATCATAGAATATAAAGAAAATAACATTTTTAAATGCATCAATTCATTAAAATGTCTTATTAATCTTTCTGATTTTGAAATTTTATTATTATTTATTATTTTTGTAAAATAATTAATAGATTAAAAATTGTGTTACTGACAAGGATTAGAATTTCGTCTATAGTGTAAGAAATGAACATATATAGTCAAAAGTCTTTAATCTGGACTCGTCGGGACTTCGGCGATTCCGGATTATCGATTGTTCCGGATTATAGATCATCAGTTTAAATCTGGTAAGATGGCATGCAGAAATTGTAAAATTAAAAAGATGAAACCGTTATTTATGAAATAAAGAGCAATTATGATCTACAGGGTATCAAAATTTACAAAAAAAAAAGCTTAATATTTATTTGTTTACTTTGTCAAAATTTGAAAATTGCAAACATAAAACTATTTTTGATTTGTATTCGTGATATTTATAATGACGAGGAATTTGATTTAAATCATATCAAAGACGGAGTACATCGAGATGAAATACTACATTATAAGCTGAATAAAATAAAAACATCTGCCCTGCTGACAGATCAACTTCCAGTTCATTGCGTGCCACGACGTCCCCCCCACGCTGAGCAGCATGAAATTGATAAACATATTTTGGAATGGTTAGAGAAACAAAGGAGCCTATATCCATTTTTTGCAGCAATTCCACTTTTTGTTTGATGGACATCGAAACATGCTTTGTAGATCCAGCATCAGAAATTCTATTTGACGTAATCGAAAGTTTCAACTTACTTTTATAAAATTGCTCTAACAGTCTGCAAAAAATAATAAGCCGGATCCATTTCGTAGATTAAGGAACAACACAATCTGCAACATTAACTGAAATAAATATTTAGATAATTTTAGCTTAGCTTATACTGTCCGTTATACATTAAACATGCTTGTGTAAACGTATTATGCGCATGCGTAAATGTATTACGCGCATGCATTAACGCATGCGCAGAAAGTTTGTAGCTTTGAAGTCTGAATTATAGATCATTCCGGATTATGGGTGTCCAGATTAACAACTTTTGACTGTATATTTATTTTGATTTTAATTTTAAGCCTATTATTATGTTTCTTTATATATATGTGTGTGTATGTGTATTTTGTCAGCTTACTGAGAGCAGAGTCATATTTGATGCTTAATGAGCTGTGTTACGAACAAATAATGACATACATTCATCCAGAAGATGTAAAATTATCAAAGAAGCAACGAAAAATTGACATGGAAGTATTAGATCTGAAGCAGAAACTTAATTCAGCAAATACAAAACAAGTTGTTCTGAGTAACCGTGAAATAAGGCTACTGAGGTAAGTCAGATGTACAATAAGGTAATTATTACTCTGTTTTTATGGAATGATTAAAACAGGCTAGTTTAAATAAGGAAAAAATTATGATGATCTCATTCATTTGCATCATAAAAGCCGAGTTTCAGTTTACAAAAATGCATAGCCTTTTATATGTTGTGATATTTTTCTGTACATGCTAAGAATTTTTAAGCTGCATAGATGATAAATACATTGATCCTGTTCAAAACCAGATTTTTGTAATCTCTGATTTTAAAAATCTTTTTTTTTTTTTTTTTTTTTTTTATATATATATATATATATAATTTGGAATCCTGATATTTATTTTTGATGTATTCATTTTATCTTTTTGTTGCAAAATTTATTTATTTATTTTATTTTTGTAAAAGTTATCTAGTTTTTATTTTTGTGAGTATTGGGCATCTCTATCACATTCACATTTGAGGCAGCTTTGAGCCATCATTAGTGAAGTGTACTTTTGTCGAAGTGTTTGAAGGCAACTTCTGAAAGGCAACATTTTATTTTATTATCCTAAGTGTTCCATTTTAATGTATCTAGTTATATATAACTGAAGCTATAAGGGCAACTGTGCTGCATTTATGTTCCTTTGTAGACTGAGCTGAAAATACCGTTGTTAGGGAATTTGAAAACAATATATTTGGAGAAAGTTTATCATAAACCTGAGTTTTAAAAGTAGACCATATGTACTTGTCAACACTCAGAAAATTGACAACTGACAATCCTCGGAGGGGGGGGGGTCTCTTAGAATTGAGAATTGTGACATTTACTCAGCTAACAGGGTATCTTGTGGCAGACATGCAAGGGGTGGCACCTGTATCTATGCGATATGTACGATTAAACATCACCAGATACTGTCCCCTGATTTAAATGTTTTGGAAGCAACCACAGTTAAAAGTCGTTAATTCGGACACCCGTAATCCGGAATGATCTATAATCCGGACCTCAAAGCTAAAAACTTTCTACACATGTGCTGCGTTGACACATGCGCATAGGCGTTTACACATGCGCGTAAGACCTTTACACGCATATGCGTGTGCGCAAGTGCAGAATACGTTTTCGCGTGCGCGTTTAACATATAACGGACGGTATAAACTAAAATTATACAATTATCTATTTCAGTTAATGTTGATGATTGCGTTATTCCTTAATCTTCGAATTGGATGCAGCTTATTATTTTTTGCAGACTGTAAGAGCAATTTTATAAAAGTAAACTTGAACTTTCGATTATGTCAATTTCCGATTCTGGAGCTCCCAAAGGATCTACAAAACGAAAGTATGTCTCGATGTCCGTCAAACAAAAAGTGGAATTGCTGCATCTACAAAAAGTGGAATTGGATAAAGACATGAAGGTGACAGAGAGGTCAGTGAAAACGAAAAAATTTCGATTGACAAGTTAGTCTGTATTCTCGGCACAGCAATTACGGGACTTGAACAGCGGAGCTTTTTAACTGAACAAGAAATTATGTCTGTTTATAGAATTAAAGAGAAAGTATTATCACATAAAACGAAACAACTTACGTTAAAAGAAATGTTTAATAAAGTAAACAATTAAATATTAAGCTTTTTTTTTTTTGTAAATTTTGATACCCTTTAGATCATAATTGTTCTTTATTTCCTAGAATACGGTTTCATATTTTTAATTTTAGAATTTGTGCATGCCATCTTACGAGATTTAAACTGATGATCTATAATCCGGAATCGCCAAAGTCCCGACGAGTCCAGATTAACGACTTTTGACTGTATTATCAAAATTTTCTGCGAAATTTCCCCCCCTCACACACACACAATTATTTTTGACTATGTGCCTCTACAAGCTGCAGAACATGTGAAAGCACTTTTCCTGTCAGTTATTTTAATATACATTTCAAATCACCCCCTTATCACTCATTGTTCATGATCTAAATTCATGCTATGCTGCATGGTTTGCCTGAATTAGTCTTAATTCATGGGCTGAAAGCTCCCATGTACAGATCATAGGCCATACAGATCATACCTCCCCGACTTACCACCTTGTAAGAGGGTTCCCTGCAGTTCTTGATCTGGCTGCTTTTTATAATATAAACTTTCAGCATGAAATTAAAATGGTTCAGGCATTGTACTCTTACCATTTCCCTGTTTTGACCCTAGATGTTCAGGATCGTTACTCAAAATTATAGGAGCAAGTCTCAACAAATTGGGGTGATTTTTTGGTTTATTTGGGAACATACAGCAACCCCCTATCAAAAGCTCCAGTGATGCAGACTTTGATGGGTGTGTCAAAAATTTGGAGTCTATACTTAAAGAAGCGAGAGCTGCAGCTTCAAAACCAATTACTAATCTGGTCGCTTGACTCCCGCCTGAGACTAAATTCAAAATTAAGCAGCATAACTACTTGCAAAACCTTTAACAGAAGATGTGTGATCCCAATAACTGAAGATGGATCAATTTGGCACACTGCCGCCTGATTACGAACAATATTGACCCATTCTGCTGCTTAAAATGGCCAATATGACTCGACAGGCTTTTACAGATACTGGAAAGTCTGAAGCTATTGCAGGCAGCCTTGCAACTCGTTTTACTACAAATAATGACACCAACTTTGAGTATTACTGAGGCGCATACATTCATATGTTGGAACATTTCATAACACGACCTAATACGCCTCTAAGGCCTACAGATGTCACAGAGATCCTAGAATTTATCGAGAAACTGGAACCAAAAATGCCTTCGTCATAGATTCTATTTTAGATTTCATGATCAAAAACTTTCCCATAATATGTGTAGTTTGAATTACAGTCCTTATTAATTTGATGTTCAAAAAGAGCTTTTGGAAAATTGTAGCAGTCATTCCTGTTTGAAAACAAAATTTACCCTTCAACTATAGGCTTACTAGACTGCTGTCTTCACTCTCAAAAATCTATGAGTTTTTGTTACTTAAACATTTGAGTGAATTCAGCTGTGATCCAAATTTACTGGTGCACCAGTTGCTGCGTGTAGTTGAATTCATTCGAGAAATTCGATTTCGTAAAAGAGGAAACTGTAATTGTCTATTTAGACATTGCTAAGGCCTTAGCTGGCGGTTGATGCACAAATTCATGCAGTTTAGACTTCTTTTGGCCCAATTCATCAAATTAACTTTCTGGAGGATCTTTCTGTGTGCGAGTTAACCATGTATGCTCTACTCCCTACCCAATCTATGCTGCTATGCCCCCTTATGTTGACCTAGCTTTATATGTAGATGACACAGCCAACACCACCACAGTAATTTCTACACTGCAAAGTTAGCTTACAAACTTTGAGCTTTGGCTCAGATTGTGAAAGATCAAAATTGATGTCACAAAATGTGCTCCTTTTTTTTATTCCTCCTAAGAAATATCCCGTATTTAGATAATTTATTACTCTTCTGTGAACCAATTCTCTCGGTTCCAAATTACAAGTATCTAAAAGCTATACTTGATTCAAATTTAACTTGGCAACCTCACATCCAGAAAATTATTTCAAATGCGAAGGTTGTCAAATCGTGACTACAGCCATTCTTCACTAGAAATAGTGGCCTGGCCACTGATAAGGAGATTTTGCTCTACAAATCAATGATCATGCCTATTCTTACTTGTGCAAATCTCATCTGGGGCTCATCTGCCCTGGCTAACAGAAAGCGTATCCAAATTTTCCAAAATAAAATGCTTCGGCAAAATCTAAAAGCTGCTTGGTTAGTTGCAAACAAGGATATTTATAATGCAACTCAAATTCTTCCTGTATGTCACTCTCTACAGTGTCTGTCGATTAACTTAATCCAAGATTCCTTCAGTTGGAAACTCCGTTCTCCATCTAGTGCCTCTTTATCATCCAAGAATAGCATCATTAAAGAAAAGACCCAGAGCAATTCTGTACAGTGAATATAACACACTACCTTTTTATTCCCAAAACCTTTTTTTTTGGGGGGGGGTGCCTTAAAGTTATCGCTTTTCTCATTTGACCTCTTTCCCTTCTTGAGCAGATTCACTGGTTTTGCAGTATTGCTCAAGGTTCTGTGTCCTGTAACCAGGCTTGTTCTCATATTGTTCTGTTGTGAATAATTGAAGTAATTAAGCATTTCTTTGTTCCCTGTTAAGAGGTTCTTTATGCATTTTACTAATATAATTTTAATTCTTTTATAAGAGATTTTACTGAAATTAGCTTAATACTGCTAATGCTGTTGTAAGTTTTTGTAACAAAGGTTTTTCCTCAGAGGCAGTCTGGCCACTTTCTGTTAATCTAAATGCCTATAACAAGTTCCCCTATCTCCTCTTGCCTCAGACCCCAATTGCTTGTAATGGCAAATCATTGACCTTTGTAGTTCTTTCTCATGTTAGCATCACAAAGAAAGGAAGGAATTCTTCAAGGAAACTCAATTATATTCAAAGTTAATTGAAATAAAGTCCCCCAAAATTTATTCTGGCCCTTTTTCGATCTCAAAATGTAATTTGAAAGTCCTTCAATGTTTCTACTTTCATTTTGACATTAAATTTTACCTCTCTGTGGAACCTCTCTTGTGATAATAATTTAATACCTGACGATTGTGGGGATAAAGGCTAGCCTAAGTGCCCCATAAATAAATCATTCCTTGGTCCATATGGTATGGGTATAATTTGGCAAATCATAGACACTGCTATAGATGTCTTCCTGTTTGCAGTGGAGCCTGAAGTGACTGAGTTATTAGAACTAAGTCTCACCATTTGTCGACATACAGTCCTAGTGCATATGGTTGATGAAGCATCTGCATTAAAATGTCTGAAAATCTGTTGTAAAGTTGCACTTCTTGCTATCGGTGTGATAAAGCTGAGTCTCCAAGCACCTCTGTAACACTTGCTGTCTAATAGCCACGTTCTGAATGATTCATGCTAGTTTTTCAGCTTTTAAGGTGCTGATGATGCACCTGTTTCAGAGTAATGCCATGCATCTAGCATTTTTGCAGTTGCTGGAACTTATTTATTTATTATCATTCCGCCTGCTTCACCCCTCAATGGGCACTACAAGTCAGTCATGTTATTCTGATCGTTGCTACAGCAACCAAAATAGGTTGTTTATCTTTTCAACCGTATTATAGATAAACATATTTAACAATAGTTATTACTTTTGTTGGGTGCTTCGACTTACAATTTTTTGGGAATGTTAATATAAAATTAGCAAAAAGGGTTTAGTTAGCTTAGAGATATTTACATATATACATGAGTAGAGGCTTGCTGCCTTTACATTTCGTGATATTGAACATCCAGCCTTGTGAGCACTGACAATTTGTTCGTTATCAAACTTGCTTAGAATTCTGCCATTGCGCATGATAACAATTTTTGGCAAGCCTGTTGAAGATCTGATATTTATGCTCTGTGGCACTGATAAACATCAGTGGCTCACTGGTCATTGGTTCCCATTGGACTCATTTGCATGTCGCATTGCAGGTGTGTATAATAATTTGTCTTTCTAGGGTGTACAACATTGGTTGTAAAGTCTATTTTAAAAATTTTCTTGGTGTGTGGGTAGTATATTGTATTTTAGCTATATAATTGTCGTGTAATATTAAAATGCAGTGAAGGTTTATGTTTAAATATGAACTTTTCTCTAAAGCCTTAACTCCACTTTAGAATGCATTTTCATAATTAGTTATTTTATTGTTATATTCCATGCATTAATTTTTTGAGCACTAATTTTTTAATTTAAATTAATTTTTTTAAGGTATCTTGAACTTACTCCTCAAGATCGTGCCAAAATTGAAGGTACACCTAAAGTAGCAAAAAAATTGGAACGACTGCGCAGTAGAGGAACAAGTAATGACTCAGGATCAGTGCATTCTGGTTCTGCCAATGCCGAAGATGATAATTTTTCAGAAGATAGCAGTGTAGATGGTAATGGTGATTATGATGAACATTTAAGTAGTAAAGGTGACTATGATATCAGTGAATCAAATTATAGTTCATTTTCTGATCCATTTACGTCTTACACATCACCTACTCATTCATTGTCAAATTATCGAGTTACCACACCCGAATTAATTATAAATGGCAACTCTGATCACTTTAATAGTTGGTCACCTGGAAGTAGCAGTTGTGGTGTAGTAAATAGCTGTACATGTGATTGTCATAAAAAGCATTCTGTGTCTCCTAAAATTATGAAATTGCAAAGTGCTCAAACATGTAATTCAGCTGCGCAGACTTTGTCTACCGGTGATATTGTTATAACAAAAGTGTTTTTTGAAGACGGTGAAAAAAAATAGTGTAAATATTAAATAGTGTAACAACTGGTTTATATGTAATCAGTTTGGAATCATCAAAATAATGCAAAGTTTATTAATTTTTGCTGAAGTTTTTTCATTTTCATTGTGAAAGCTAGTGGTGCTAGTTTTTGTTTTATTTACATTGCTATGGGATCAAATCTTGCATCTAATATCATTTTCATTGAATATGTCCTCCCCCTCAGATTTCTGTTATTATTTTCAACTCAGGCTTTCTAACAAGTAAAATGGATTTTGTACATAATTACTTCAGGCTTGATTCAATTCAGGTTTGGCTTTGGGATTTGTAAAAGTTGCAGTATGTTTGATGCAGTTTTTAAAAGCCATAGACAGTGACCAAAATCATTATAGAGGGAAATCTGAAATCAGGTTTACTGTTATAGTAGTTTTATAATATTCTGCTGGTGGCCACTAACAAAACAATTATTATCTACAGATAAATTAGTACCGTAATATTCAGGAAAGATAGTCAGTTAAAAGACTGCAAGCAAGGCAGGAAAAGTTTCATAAAAATTTAAATTGTGAACATTATGTTGAGAATGCAGTTAAGAGATTTTTTTCTAGTTTTAATGTAGGTGAAAATAAATATATCAATGCTGTTTAAGACAGATTGCCAAAGGAATAGATCATAGTCATCATGCTATGTATATTACTTCTTCCATATGTTCTTTTGGCTGACTGACTTTTCTGATTGTATACATTTGCTGTACTTCATGTGCATTTCTGTAAATCTGAAATTTGTTTGTAATCATATTTCAGTTGTCTTGAAGATTTAATCAGTTTGTTACATCACTTAACTCAAAAGAAATTCTTTTACTATGAATTTTAAAGATATTATTATAGAGGCTATTATAGGAATATGAATCTTATTATTGTGTAAGTAGCAGAGCTGCTGACTTTTCCAATAAACCTGGCAGATTTCCAATTTTTCATCACATCTCCTAGTCTTCTAGTAAATAATTTATCTAAATTTTGATCATCAAATATAGTTTTGATGAGACTGTTGATTTTAAAATGTCAGAAAGGAATGCTAATAAGAAAATTTTCATGACAAAATTTTTTTTTAAAAGGCCCAGACAGTGATGCCATCTTTTAGTAAAACTTTTGAATGGTGCAGATTCCACTTTTGCCCAAGTGATTTTTCATATCATTTTTGTGAAAAATTTATATTCCCTCTATTTTAATCCATAACAGAGATTGTTGAGGTTTTGCCACTTGAATTCTAATCATTATAAAATTTCAATTAATTTTTTTATCAATTGAAATTGTGCAAAGCATAATTTAGCATATAATTTATTAGGCTTAATTCTGATATATTTTTCTTCAAATGAAATTATTAGTATAATAGTTACAATTATGCATTTTAAAGTGATTTGTGAAAAATGTTAAATTGATTTGTACAAATATTGCAAAAAAATATAAAAGCATTTTCTTTTCTGTCAAGTTCATAATTGTTAATTTGGAATCATTCAAGATTTGCATCACCTGTTGTGCAAAATCCTTGTTGTTTTTCATTTTTAAAAGTTGGCAGCTATGAAGCAGGGAATAAAACTAAGCTATGTTCTCTTAATCTCTGTTCCCTTGCTTCTGTCATTTTTTCAATCTGATGAGAATCCTTTTTATAACAAATATCAGAAAAGCAAAATTTATTATAAAAAACACATGTTTTTGTTACTTTTGGCATTATTTTTGCTAGGTATCTCAGCAAAAACTAAAGTAAAATGTACCTTTTATATTTTTGGAGCCATACATAGATATACTACTTCTTTTTTATCTAATGGTGGGCACTTGTGTGTTCAGCATTGGCCACTCCTAATGTCAGAAGTGGTGGCCATTTTATTCTGGAGTCAACTAATAGGCAGCCACAATTGCTTCCTGTGAAGGTAAGGACTGTTACAACCATGCTTTTTCCGGGATTTGAACCCAGGCTCTTCAATACTGCAGTAGGTTACCGTAACCGCTATATCGTCTGGGCTCGTACCTTTAGTAGAAGATGTCTGTCATGGGTAGACAAAACATTGTGAAACTTACCTTAAATATAAATAAAGTGCATGATTAAAAACATAGTATCTAGTGAGTAAGAATGTCAGATTGGGTGAAAATATATAATATTTACATTAGCTATAAATGTTATAATATTTACAGAGAGAGAGACTGAGTCATCATGTAGCTTGTTATTTCTTTGTATTGGGATAGGTTTCACTCTGTGGAGGCAAGCCATATAAATTAATGTTATGATTTAATGTCAGAATTCATTGCTAGCAAAGATTGAAATGTTTTATTAAACCAGTTGTGTTTATTTAAAAATAAGCAAGCTATCAAAAATGTTTATGAAGTGCAAGCTTTATCCATGCAATAAAAGGTCTTTCAACCTTGAATCTTCAGTATTTTGTGGGATATGAATCTTCTCATAAAAGAACTTGTCGGGAAAGATCTTTTTAAGATACAATATGTATGCAGATATTAGCTTGTGATGTTTTATAATTTTCCAAAATTTCAAGATACTGTTTTTCAAGCTTCCAAATGATCAGATCTCTATATAAAATTGTAAATGAATGCACATATGCAATCTTAATTTCCATGTATCTGTTCATTCCTGTGTGAATATCATGCATAAAGCAATTTGGATGTTGTAAGTAGAGGTTGATGCATAAAGACATAGTTGCAATCATGGCCATTTTTTCTTTATTGTCATTGACAAACATTTTTAAGCAAACACAGAGAAAGTGATACTGTTGAGGAGACCTGTTCTTGAAGAACTTTTCTGGTGCTTTTTACAATTTAGAAATATATTTGGAGCAGGAGCAGCAGTAGGCATTAGTAAGTTTGCAGTAGACGAGAATGTGATGTGTCTGAGATGAAGGTTGAGTTCAGAATAATTTAGTTTTATTTCACAGCTTCCCCCATTAGCTGGTAAAAAGGTTTTGGCTCCAAAATTGAAATCATTGTTGGCTGAAGCCTTGATGTAAGTGCCTGCATTATTAACATTATGCAAGAATCATGTGACATAAATTAATTTTGAAATGATGCAATTTAGAGTGATTTATTCTAAGAAATTATTATATTTTTTAGGGCAGATAAGGTAAGCACCCGTATTAAATTAGAGAATTAAAGGATATTCCAAATTAAAGTTAAAATTTTGCTTTTCATGTTTTTATCTGAGGTATATATATATATATACACATAAATTACACACTCACACATCCTAAGGATTAGATGCCTGAATTAAACATTGGTAATAAATATAATAGTAATTAATCAACTGACATCATCCAAACCCAATTTGACAATGATTTTAATGAAGCATTCTGTAATTGAATTGCTTGCAACAAAAATGACAATTATTTCAAATAATATTTATTTGCTTCACATGGTAATTTCAAAATTAACCCAGAAGTTCTTAAAATAAAATATTTAGACATATTTAAATTTTAATGATATGAGTGGTAGTGCATTTTATTAATGCAGATGTACTTAATATTAGGTTTTACGGATGAAAGTTGATTGATTTCTCATATTAGGTTGTAATCAAGTCTGTTTTGATATGTATTTTTTATTGACACAAAAGCTGCGAACCCCATTTCGCACATACATGTAGTTGCAAATGGTAAAAGCGCCAACACGGCATTTAGGGACGGTTGAGGATATTCATCTTTTAAACTGTGGCAGAAATCTGCTAATGGCATTAACAAGCGAGCAAACTTAAACATATGCTGTGGATCATCTGATAGGATAATATTTCTGTTAGAAAGTCATGCAATAGAATGTAGCTACAATTTTGATTTGTTTTATATCTGTGTATGTAATCATCGAAGAAAATATATGTTTGTCTGTTTTTCCTGTTTGGATTTCCTTATAATTTACATCATGGCCCCTGAGATGTTCCGGTTTTTACTTTTAATCTTACGGAAACATGTGATGTGATGCTATGAGAACTAATGAAGTCTATTAATAAGCAAAAAAAATTAAATCACTTTATGAGATTTTCATTGACTAGTGACTATTGTAAGCCCAGTTATTCACATATATGGGATTCCTCTGTATTTCTAGACCTGTGGGATTCCCCTATATAGCATTAATAATGAAATGAGCATGGGAATCACTGCTACAGGGCTTCTGGATGATTCTCAGCACACCTGCTGTAAAATACCAAAAATTATCTCTGTGGCAGCATCACAACTTGCGAGTTACATTTCCATTGACTTTCTTGATTAGTAAGATGCGAGGGTTAGTTCTTACTGTTTTTTTAAATTCTTAGAGGTGTTAATTTTTATTGTTTTTAAGTTACCTTTTTGAGCATTATGAAGAAAAAGTAAGTTTCACAGAACCCTTAAGTAAGTTACATGGACATGGTTTACAAAACCCTGATATAGAGTATGGAGAGTTTGAGATTAATTTTGTTTGTTAATACAAAGCAAAAATGCCCTTTTTTATTTTTATATTATGACCTGTCATTTAAAAATAGCTACTTCAAGCATCAAGTACAAATTTTATGACAATAAAAAACGTCCATATACAGATTGTAAGCTATATATTATATTTAGTGTATTTTGTAGCTGTATTATTCTGGCAGCAAGTTTAAATTGTTGGGCCATTATTTAATCATAGTAATGTTAATTTGGTGTTAATTAATCAATCCCCCAGATCAACTTAATTTATTTTGTATTCCTTTATTAAAAGATGTCATCCAGCCACATATATTTTTTTATAGATTGCAAGATGGTTGAGAGATGCAGTATTAGTCCACTTCATTGTGAGAGAATTAATTTCTCATTCTATTGTATATCTGACGCCTATAAAATTCTTCATGTACGTCTACATTATATAAACTGCATATAGTTTGACTATCACAATTTTGCATTTTTTTGTTTCTTGTTATCAAGATTTTAATGCATTCAATAAGTATGATCATTTTTAGATGCATTTCCTTTTATATATAAGTTCTTGGGAGTAGGAAGTGGTCTTTGTGTATGAGGTAAAGGCCATTTGAAGCAGCTTTTTCAGATGTTTTTAGCAGTGATCTAGTTGTTTTTTTTTAATCAAGTAAAAATATTTCAGAATCTGTAAATTCTATAAAGCCTGGAACCATTAAAATTTGTTTCTTTTTTAATGTTTAGAAAAATTGGCCTCTAGCTCTTATTAGTTTTCATTTGAACTCTATATTTTGCTGTGACATTTTAAATTCCACCCCATCCATATGTCATTTATAAAAATGACAAAAAAATTATTGCATGGATTACCATGGTTTTTTTCTTGTTTTAGAGGATTTTTTAAGATTTTCATGAATATTAAACAAATCTAAAATTTTCCCATGAATGTTGAATAAATTCACAAAAATCCAAACCTAAACTTTGAATCTTGGATTTCCTCTCATTTTTCCCCCTAGACTTCTGAAATATAAAAAAAGGTACATTTTATGTAATTTCACATAAAGTCGTACTGCCTATCAGCATTCACAGATAACAATTGACAATTATCCTTTTTCTAAATTTAGAAACTTGCTATTTAATGAAGAAAATTTGTGTGGGAAATATGATGTATCGAAATACCATTAATTATTTGCAGCTGTGTGTATGTGAAGCATAAATGCTTTTGATACGCATAAAAATATTTATTATTTCTCATAATATTGATAAAATATAAACTATACTGCATACAGAAGTGGCTGCAAGAATGTACGTAATCAAGCTGTTGAAGATTAAGTTTATCCATCTTAATTTTAGTGAAGTGAAAAATTCTGTAAGGAAAGACTATCCACACTTGACTTGTTTTTTTATGCGTCATACATGTGTAAATGCAGTTTAAAATATAACATGTTTAAAAATTGATATAAACAGTTTATTTTTTCATAAAGTTTCCATTACGTGTGTTCATGAATCTGTAGTATCACTTTGTGTATTTTGAATATTTGCTTGAAGAAAGGATTTTAGGTATAGATCAGTAAATTAAAAAAAAAAATTAATGTGACCAGATTTTCCTGTTCTCCTTTCCTCCTTGGTGCTAATATTTAGTTTTGTCTGTGAGAAATTGTCTTTTCTTGTGTGCTTTTATAATGACATTGCAAAGTAGATATACTTCCAACATACTGACTAGTGTTCAGAAATTAAGTGTTATGACACTGATACAATTTTAGTTACTTTATCCTAATTAAATTACAAATTATAATTTTATTTTTCCTCACAGATGCAGCGTCTTTCTTTAGAAGTAAATAAATGTGCTTTTATCTAGTAGGAATGTGATATCTTCTATCCACAATGTGAGAAAAATCACTCAGACTAGTTATGAAATTGTATCTGGAAATTACTCCAAAACTTTTATTTCTTCATTGTGATTCAGTTACTTTGTATGAATTTCATACTACTTTGTCTTCTATGAAAGAAGTCATTGCAGTATTGCTGTACGTTTTTTATATAATTTTTGTAGCTCTGTCATGTACCATATTAAAACTTTCTAAGTATGAATTTCCTTGCTTGGAAAAGTTTATATATAGGAATATGATATAATTCTTGGAGAGATTTCTTTTGTAGAATAATGCATTGCTCTCTTAAATTTACTAATGAAAAAGCTTTTTCAGTCAAAAATTAGTTTGCGTGTTTTAAACATAGCAAGGGAAACTTCAGATATTAAAAATGGATTAGTTTTACACTAATAGAGAAATATATTTTTTTTATTTCATTGTTTTGCTTCAGAAATTTAATATATTATTCTCCTGCATTTTTAATATTATCAAGCCATTTAATTTTATTAAGTAATTATTGATCTGCTTTGTATACTGTGTGACAGAGCTCAACACGAGAGCCGTGCAAAACTGTGTTTTAGTGTGTTTTTAGTGGTAGACTCTTGATAGTCATTTAAAATGTTATTTTTGAAAATATTTTATCACAGAATATTTTATTAATCAATTTCTTAAATAGCAAACAGTATGTTGTAAATAGTCTTTATGTATTTGTTCCACTGGTATGTAATTGTGCTATAAAAAAGTGTAATTAAAAGAAATTATAATTCATGGGAAAAGGATGACAAGAGTGTACCTTTGGGTGGTAGGTTTTTGTATATATAAATTAATGCTATGCCTGTACATTTTTTAATTTTGAAACTCTGTGTGAGTATATTTTTTAACATCTTTAATGAATTACTTTTTTCATTCAAGGTGGCATATCTCATTTTTTAAAGGTCACAAATTCATAAGATAGATTAACAGTCACTTGGAATGTATACTTTCCAATATTATATATATATATATATTAGTGCTATATGTTTTCAAGCATTTTAGAGATAACTTTGTTAAAAAGTTGCATTTATGTGTATTAGAGAAAGTTTTACATATATGTAATAGAGAGAGAGACTGTTAAACTTCTGGCTGGGAAAAAACTTGATGTATTTAAAGAACAGCATGATCTCCGAACCGAATTGAATCTTTGTCACTGGGTCATCACAGTTCTGTCAGGCATGCTTTCAACAATAGAATAGGGACGGAATCTTTCTGTTGTATTCATACTTATTTCAGGCTTTTGTACAGTTGTGCACATGGCTTCTTATTAAGTTTTTATTATCTTACAATGTAATTATTAGTTGGATTTCTGCCGTTGCATTTCTCATTCTAGAAAAAATTTATACTAAGTTTGTTCTATTCTTATAAATCTCTTGTTTGTTGATAATATGGGTAATTTGATGTACTATTGATAATAAAACAATACCATCTAAGTTTATATGCTTACACATATTTATGATTTCCAAAGTGTTGCTCAACTTTTACATAACAGTTTTTTTTTTATTAATTTTAACTCATTTTATTTTTTTCATATTTATTAAATGTTTAAATACTTAACAGAAGTCATTTTCATAAAATGTGCTTAATTGAATACATACTCATATGTGAATATTCATGTATGATATGTGTGTAACATGTATGAAACTCATACTTACATAGGTAGGTATATGTACATGAGTACGCATACATACATGAATGGGTAGCTATGTATTGAACTCGTGCATGAATATATATTCATATACACACATGCATAAATTTGTATACAATGATGATAAAAAATAAAATAGTTTTATTTGAAAACATGCAGTACTCATTCAATTCACAAAGCATCATATGGATTGAGAAGTATAAATAGAAGTTGTTTGTTAACTTCTGTGTCCATTTAATTATATACCATGATTTATCATTTTGTTCATTGTGCATTAATTTTATATTTTTAACCCTTATTCAAGAAGTTGTATTATGTTAAATAGTAGTTGATTACTTCAAAATAAATAAATTTAGCCTTGACCTGCTGTTTCAGTGATAATTTCTGCCTCTGGGTATACTCAGGACTTGAAATAGAAATCTCATTAAATTTTTGTGCAATGTTGATAACATTTTTACCAAGTGTAACTTAGGTGTAATTAGATACACGAATATGTAGTTATTAGTGAGTTAAGACTTCATCTCAAATTTATGGCAAAATATGTCATTGTTAAAAAATTCGGTTTTTGAAGGTTAATATGAAAGTCTATTAATTCAATAGATTACCTTTTGTCTCAAAGAATGCTTTTATTTAGACCCATAAACATGTTGAATATTAATTTTTATATAATTTTCAGACCCAAAGACCTGCTTAAAGTGCTCCTGTTGCCTTAACTATTGATAAAGTAAATTATTTTAGATCTTAATAATTAGTTTAGGGGGAGATTTCTTCACATGTTTATTTTTAATCTTCATTTCTGTAGCTTAAGTAACAATAAGGCACTGGATCTTAATATATAAATTTAATTATTATAGACATCATAATTTTACACATGTTGAAGTTTTTAGCATCTTTTATATGTAATTTATAACTAAAAATTCATCTCTGCTAAGTAAAATGGTTAATTTAATAAGTAATTAATTCACCATAATTTGTTTTATTTGATGTCAAGGCAAATGTATTTAAAAAAATAACTGGAAATAATTAATTAACTTTTCTAGTGACTTTCAAACAGTATATTTTTGTTCTCATTATAGTATTTTGGAGCATTTTTGTTATATTAATATATATATATATAAAGATTTATGTCAAATCTGCAGATTTTGATCAAAATTTTGAAGTGGTCTATCTATCTTAATGCACGTTGTAATCTTATTGTTAAAATCACAATAGCCATTATTTTTATATATGCATTAAGTTCTAATAATACTGGAAATTTTGATGTATAACTGTAATACTTTATATCCCAATATTAATTATATTTAGCAATTTGATTTAAATGCTACTCCTTCTAAAAAAGTGAACAGATATATCCAAAAAAACATAAATTTAATATTTTGACTATTATGGGTACCACTTTTATTATATATATGTGTGTGTATGTGTGGGTTTTTTTTTTTTTTTTTTTTAAGCTTTTGATATAAATTTGAATGCCAGCAAATATTTAATTCGTTTTATTTTTGTAGCATTGAAAAGGCAGCTTGTATAGTAATTTATGTAACAGACTATATCTGTGATTTTTTTTAAAGGTGTTGGTTGCAGAAATTTGGCTTGAATTCTGTGAGTTTGGATTTTAAATATATATATTATTTATTCTTTGTAATTAAGAGTTTATTGATCGTCAGTACCATTGTTTTGTGCTTTTAATGATCTAAAATTAACTGCTTATTAATGGAGGCAGTGTGATATATGAATGAATTTAATAATTTAATTGTTGTTATATTTATACTATATATTAAAGGAAACCTGAAAGTTTTCTAGAATGTAAGTCTACTATATAAGCAGCAATTATCTGTGTTTTGCTATTATAATACAACCAGCCTGTTAGTTTTTAGTCTGCTAAATAGTATGTGACTTTGAGCTGTAAAAATCATGCCATTTTTCAGTCCCCTGTCTGGTATTGATATGGCTGATGTTTGGGGAGGAAGGAAAGTTTAAAATTTTGTTTAATTTTGAAAAAAAAAATGTACCTTACAAACTTGTGTCTTATTTATAGTATTTTCCTGTTTCAAAGGTAAATACTATGAATAAACAAATTTATAGATAGCTAAGAGAAAAATATCAGTCGAGGCTAGATCATATTTTGATCATTCTTTCAGAATCAAAATTAACAAAATGATTGCCAAAAATTAGTTGGGTTTTCCCTAAAAATTACCGTATACTGAATTTGGTTGGACTGTTTTGGGATTGGTTTAGTACTGACAGTACTGTTTTCAATATTGCTGTGAACATGCAGTACTGCTTGGCTGGAAACAGTGATGCATTTTGTCCCGATTTCACCTTGTGTCTGCTTCCCCCCCCTTCATTCCCACATATGAAGTTGGAATTGAAATGAAGTATTTCCCTGACTTTGAGAAGATTCAGCAAAAATAAAAAGACCTGTATAATAGCATGCAAGGTAAATACTTTCAAAAATGGATCTAACATCTGGATATTTGCATTAGACAAATGGGAGTATTTATAAGATGGCTGAAGGAATCATTATATTTGCATTAGACAAATGAGAGTATTTATAAGATGGCTGAAGGAATCATTATGCAGATATATTCACAAAGAGTTCCCAAAACTTTCAGATTTCCTTTTCACAGTGTAATATTAAACTGCTGTATTTTCCTCCCCTGCACGACTAGTTCAAATGTAATTATGTGTTCAGCTTATGTAAAATTTAAGTTATTAATAAGAAACATGAGTTTATTACACAAATGTATGTATAAAATTTAATTTTAATGAAATGTAGAGTATAGCAAAATATTCTCCTTAAAATGGCAGTGTGCTTACATTGATTATGAAATAATTTACTGTACTTTCTTGTATATTCAGAAGTTTAAATGTTATTGAAGAATGTATGCCTTCAGTGTATGTTGAATGAACAATGAGAGTATTAACAATAAATTTTTTATATGCTGCATGTTTTTCATTATTACAGAATAAACATGTACGATTTAGATTTTATAATTAACATAATGCAGAAAGAATTTTAATTTATGTATATTCCCATGCAGTTTCAGGTCAGCACAGATAGAATGATTAATTGATAATAATTATAATGAATATACACAAGTGTTCAAAATTAAGAAGTCAGTTACTTCGTATCTAGAATTGAAAGACTGTTTTCAATGAAATTGAGTTTGGACAAAAGTTCAGAAAAATATGCATCATACAACAGTCATGGTACATCATATGTAAGGCAGCACAGGAATGTCGATACCAGATCGCTAGATCGAACAAAAAAAAAAGGAGGCTAATGGGCTTTCACAGTCATACAGCTCTTGTAGTGTGACTACATACTGGAAATTAGGTACTTTGTGAGTTGCCATGGCAGTTGATTCATTACCGCAGGAATGCTGTTTTCATATTTGGCAGGAGGAAGATGGGGTGTAGTTGCGCTTTGAGTAGCATTCTAGACATGTTTAGGTCTGAAGATATGTCTTGCAAATGCACCCAATTAATATCCTCATTTTCTCAACCCGATTTACTTGCAAGACCGGTAAAATATTTCAGTGTTTTATTGAGATCGGTAGGTTATTAATTTCGACTATTGGTGTGATATTTACATATACAAATATGTGGAACTTAAAACAATTTTTTACTGGTTTGTTTTTAATCATTTGTATACTTTCTGCAATGAACAATATTGTTATATTAATATCTTCCTTCACGTTCGCACGGGGTTCATGTGGATTTGGAGTGAATAGCGACGACAGTGCTTGATGGAATACCGAAACATACTTTATTTACCAATATCGATCAGTATAGCTCCAAAGTCATGTTTTACAGTCATCGAGGATCTATTATAAACTCGCTAGAACAATCAGCGACACAGCCTTCAGGCTATAATGGTGAAGACAACTTCACAGCAAAGCACTAGAGTACAGCTCCCGACTGTGCTCGTTCGTTCTCGGAACTCCACATACTCTCGAGACTCTCCACGCTACAACTCACGATGCAATCGACGACACACAGAGAACAGCTCCGGACTCTTCGGTTAAGCCGTTCCCAGAGCTTAACACACACTCTCGGTGATACACTAACCGCAATACACGAAGAGATTCTTTCGATGTGCCAGACGACCTACTCGGCACTTGCTGCCCGGTTGTCAACTTGATTGACTCCGCGCGGACTGAGTCGAGACTAACTATCATGCACTTGATGAAGCACTCGCTCAATGACTGACTATCAGCTCGCTAGACGAGGCACACTGACTCGCTCTCTCGACGAGGCACTAACTGACTGCAGACGCGCAGGGTTTATATAGCTTTCGGCTTGTGTTCGAGAACATTCTGGGCTAAACCGGTAAGAATTTGTTCCAGAAGGTTCTCCATCTGTCCATGGTATGTTGCCAAATGGGCGATTTCTCGCCAAATGTTTCAACCCTCACTCTTGCTATTTTATGGCAACCCTAAACCTTCTTTGCGGGGAAGCTATCTCACTGTAGCTGTACATTTCGTAACAATATATTAAAGCTATTCAAATTAAATCTAATATAAATATTAATTTTGCTGCTCAAATAACAAAATAGCAAAAGCCAAACTATGTACCCATGTGTAGATACCAAAAAATATTAGCAAACAACCAAATAAGTGGAAAGGAAATAACAAACATTCAAATCTAAATAACTGAATTTAATGTGACTGCTGTTTTTTGTTACTTACTAATATCTCAGTTCTAAGGGTCAAACTAGGTACAGCAACATGTAAAGCAGATGTGAGGATAAATCGATTTCAATGTTTTGTTTAAATAACTTTCATAGCCGAAAATTTACTCTCACATAAGTTGCAGAAAAAGGCAATAAAATTTTAATTGCTTTTGTGTAAAGATGGAGATATTCCTTTCTAGTTTTCATGCAGAACTGATATATGTTCCGGGAATTGAATTGTGATTTTAATACTAGATTTGAAGATAGTTCAGTAAAGTTCTGTGATAGTAAGATCGTTATTTTGGTTATCAATAAATGGATTTATTATCCACGAATTCCCCCTCATATATCCTCTTCCGGAGCGTAATATTGATTAAAGGCCAAAGCAAGTTCATTTTAAGTGCTCCAGAATTATGCTTGTAATGCTTTTCATATCAATAGCTTCAGCATTTATAAAATTGCAGAAAGAAGAAAATATTTCAAAGTTGTTCCCTTATGTACATTTGTACCAAAGCTTTAATTTTTTCCTTGAAGGCATCCATCTTATTGTATAAGTTGAAAACAGTATTGTTTTTGTCTTGAAGGCTTAGATAGAATTCATTTATAAATGAAAATACAGGATGAATCTGAACAAGGGAGCAAAATTTTACGGGGTGATAGAACACAGTTATATGAGCAATATTTGTCATAGAATATATGGTCGGAATGCAAACGGTGAGAAGTTAAAAGGTAGCATTTAAAGAATTAACCCAAGAATGAGAAGATATACAGTGGATCCTCAAGATACGAGTTTAATTTGTTCCAGTATTGACCTTGTATAGTGAATTTCTCATATCTAGAAACAAACTTCCCCATTGAAAATAACAGAAAAACAGTTAATCCGTTCGGCATCCCCAAAAATATCAACATAAAAATCAATTTTTCTAATTAATAACACTGGTAAATAATATAACCACACACATAGTTTACTTTTATGATAGCTTCCAAACCAAATCGCCTTTTAACTGCTGCCTGTTAATCCACACCAACAAGAGCTTCTCAACATGTGGGAGTTTTAGGCGGTGCTTGGCAGTAACGGTAACTATCGTCGATGTCGAACAGCCATAAGTCTTCGCCAATTCCATCACTCTTACACCACGTTTATGTTTATCTATGATTTCTTTCTTAATTTCAATGAACATGGCTTCTTTTTTGCAGCATTATCTGATGCATTGTGAAATAATTATTTTCATGTTAAATGTAAAAAAAAAAAAAAAAACCCGCAAGTGCACAAACACGTAGATCAAAGAACACTGAGTAATCTGACGAGGGGATTTCCCAAGTCGAGAGGGATTGTAAAATGGCACCACGCATACCAACAGCCTGGTTCCTTGCTCATTACTCGAATGAATGCTCATATTTAGAGACAAAATTTTCACTCGTACTTTCCTCGTCTATGGATGTACTCATATCTCAAGGTACCACTGTACTTCAGAAAACATTTTTTATGAACAGGAATGTAATTGATGTACATGTTCAAAGAAATTGATCAAAAGACCTTCCAACTGTAATGCAGGCTTCACATCTGTGCGATATGGACTGATGCACATTTGTGAAGACATCAGGCATTTCCCAGTTGCCGCCGACAGCAACACTGAACCTGATGATTAGATCCATGTCCGTTTTAACTGGGCATTCGTAGATTAGGTTTTTCATATGGCCCTACAAGAAGAAGTCCAAACACCAGAGATCTGGTGATCTTTGTGGCCAAGCTCTGGGACCACCTTGACCTATCCATTGCTGTAGAAATTTCATGGTTTGTATAACCAGCCATCGTCTAGGTAAACTATGGTAGAAAATGCTGTTGGGTGTGAGGACTAATCCTTTTTATGCCATTTACAATGCCAACTAGCAGCTTGCCATTTGCATTCTGCGCAGACTTTATGTCACTCTTGCTTGTATAGCTGCTTTCTATCATCTCATAAAGTTTTGCCCCCCCCTTGTTCAGATTCACCCTGTATGTTTGATAGGTAAGAAAGCTCTACCCATTCCTTATTACAAAAAAGTCTACCTAATGAAGATCCTATCTAATTTAAAAACAGTTCTATCTCCCAGCTTAATTCATACAACCTAGTAAGAACTTTTCCTGTGGACAACCAGCGTACTTCAGTGTGTAATAGCAAATGTTCATGATGACCCCAATTCGTAACCTAAAATTGAGAAGAATTTTGAATTATGGGTGATGAATTGAATTGAATCCACAACTTTAAATCGTTCTGTAAGAAGATCATTCAGCTATGTGAACAATTTCTTTGCTGCTAAATGCTCACTATGAATAATACAATTCTTATTTTAACACCTGTATTCCTTTCTGTCATAAAAACAGTGCTGTCAGTATGCAAACCAATGAATATTTTCCAGTCAATACAGTTACTTTCAATGTAATAATTAATTGCCTTAAATATTTCAGGACTGATTGTTTGAAATGACAGTTCGATGTAACACAAAATTTCTTCTCTGATAGCATTAGTTGCATAGTCAGTATAATGAATGTAACATAATGTCATTTGACTCATCCATTTGAATAGAGAAATCCTCCAATTTACGAATATCTTGTAGCATCTGACTTTCAATGTCGGATGATAATTCACACAAATTCTGTGCCCAATAGTGTCATTGGAAAACCATAAAACATTTTTGAATTTTCATCTTTAAACTTTTAGTTTTTGAAATGTCGACGGACTTGTTCTGTCGTTGTGGGTGCTTGGAGGGTTTCATACTTTCATTAGAAATAACGTCTCCACAAACAACACACTGAGGTCTTGAACTATTTTCTGCTGATTTTGACTAAAGGACAAAACCGTATTTCAAATAGTCTGCAATATAATGCAGAATAAATCCTTTTTTTCTTTTTGGTGGGCTGTGGTATAACATCAGCTTCAACTATGTTCGACGACGTACCTGCATTTTGCGAATTGCTCCTTTGCACAACATTTAATAATGTGCCTGTAGTAGCTTTCTTACTCATTTTTTTTTTTTTTTTTTTTCTTGATTTTAGGGCATTAATCAAAAATATAGAAATTATTGTAGGGATTAATTAATTTCATTCGTAATCCAAAACTTACGATTTTAAGTCATTTTCGTCCTTGAACAATGCAGAAAACAGTAAGAATGTGGTAACTATGTACCTGGCAGGTAGCACTTCAGTATGGTAGATTTTATCATACTGAATCTCCACCTATCAACCTCTTCATCTCGCTTTTCTTTTGCTGAAGTGGCAACAGCTGAAATAA